GTCTACTCCATGTGATAGTTGGTTGTGGATATCCCGAAGCAATACATCGAAGTACAACTGGATTACCTACCACCACAGCTACATCATGTGGGATTATTTCAACTGTTGAAATATGACTGCTTTCTATATTACATAAAAGACAGAACATAACACATCATGATCATCATCATTAAGTTACAAGTAAAGCAAAAATTCACAATGTGATTACAACATGAGTTATATAAATTATCTCAATAAAAACACTGTCAATATTTAAAGTTAATCGGAAAATTATCATAACTTCTGTATACATTTGAACCAAACTCATCAACTCAACGCATAATTGAACACAGTCATAGAATTTCATAGAAATCTGGTTCTGATACTCAGCTATACTAAATATAGTTATTATGCAAAAAAAGAAAATAATATTCATTAAAATTCTACATACACATTACATGTGCTGTATTTAACTCAATGTGATTGAATAGATCAATGTCATGACATTTGGGTAATGGTCACACATTCTGTTACTTTTGCTGGTATGTAAGTAAAATTGAACCCCAATTGGACTGTTGTCAATGGTTCGATTGCCAAAAAAAAAGACATTTTGTTTGGTAGTAAATGTTAATAACTCACAATGATGCAAAATAGTTTTCTACACACAAGGAGCGAACGTAAATGGCACTTTTTTTTACCAAAAATGACAAAAACAGGGGCCAAGCCAATGCATGTGCTATCAATACCAGCACTTATGCATTTTTAAAGTTTTGGTAACTAGTTTGCATAATTTTTGGTGAATCAACTTCTCATGAACACAACAGAAATCAAGTCAAACGTCATCTATTAAGACAGTATCCAGACACAGCATCATCACTATGACACAGTGGACCTACAGTATGTTGAGCTAAAAATGAAATAGTATAAGGTTATTACGAAGATACCTCAAAGTATGCACGAAGACAGTACAGATGGAGTATCGACCGATGCGCAGCAGAGGTCGATGCGAAAGCGTACTGTCTGAGTGCATACTTTGAGGTATTCTCGTAATAACCTTATTATTAAACATATTTTCCTTCCAAGGATACGTCATTGTAATGCCGAAATACAAAATGTTTAGAACAGAAGCAATGAACTTCTTTGTGTTAAGGCCTGTTAAGTCCGGTCAAACCCCGATGGCAGCCATGTTTATTTTTATTATTAGAGGACGCTTACACGCGTAATCATTCCACATTTGTAATTTGCATTTTCTAATATGGTAGGATGAAAAGATCTTGTAAAATACAGCAAAATTACGGCACGCTGTAACGTATAGCATTACGGTGACAGATGTATAATAATTTTATTTATAATGCTGCATTATTTCTTAGACTTAATTTTTTGTCTTACCTTACGAGAGTAAAATGTTAGAAGAAAAAAAACACAATCATATGTCCCAACTGTGATTGTTTGTGATGCTGTCATACCAACAAAAGTACTGAGATGTGTGACTTTTAGGGGGGGGGGGGGGTAAATAAAAGTGACCTATTTAACTGATTAAAACATGCCTTTGAGCTGAGTGTGGGTACCATCTGCTGTGATATGCAGTTCTTCTACTTTTGTAGTCGATTCTTCATCTGTACTTGTTGAAAATCCCTTATTAGTATCATCTGATGTCACACCAGTGGTAGCAACAGGTGGAGTTGAGGTCACATCGATATCATCGTAACAAGATACATCAGACGTGCGATTTCCCTTTCTTTTGTACTTCAATCCAAACATGGTACAGTTTGTATGCGGTGTACAATTCTCATTAACGTTATGAGTATTTGAATATGTGCCCCTTGGACATGGTGCACACTTATGATTGTCTGTAAAAAACAATTAAAAATATAGATTAAAAGCTTAGATAAATAATAAAAACATTATTATTGTATATCATCATGCATAAAATTGTGAATTACAAAAAAATGTCATAGTTATTGTTTAATTTTCATTAACACTAAATCTACTATGCATTGTATATACTGCTGTGTAACAATAGTAGACAACTATAAAAACGCCAAATGATAATTACACAAATCATTGTCTATATGTCCCCATCCAGTTTTCAGTAACAGTCAACATTAGAACGAAATAATTATTTACACTCCAGTTTTGTTTGTGCAACTAGTTTGTTTGTGTGATTCCTTCTTTTATTCTACCCATGTCATTCAATATGCATTTCTAGCACGAAAATGGTGATCAGTCATTTTGAAACGTATGCATGTACATATGGTACATATTTATGTGGTGGCTAAGTTTATATCGCAAAACTAGGCGTTGGGGTGTTCTTTTCGTCACATAAAACGAACTGACTAATCATGCGGAATTGTTATTGAAACGGACATCGATTGCGTTGTGTTTTCTTGAGTTGAACAGACGTGAGGTATAATTCAAACTGGTTTATTTGTACTCAACATGAACATCAATACGTTGTACAGCAAATACTTCTTGGTATAAAATATAGATCGCTAAATAATAGCTCCATGAGGAGTTGGCATCGTAGAGAGCATAGAAAGGAGGGTGTGCATAACGAGCATCAAGTTGCGAAGCTACCATAGAAGGAATTACAGCGACGGCCTGAATCGGACTTCTCACGACAGCGCTTTGCCTGGTTAATGTAATTGTCAACGTTAGAGCGGCATTTGTCTCGGTGACAGCTAATCCGAGAAGTGCCAAACACGTGTTTGTACTCTAGAATATATCATGTCAAAACGTTCCGAAAATAAAACAACGCTAATGATATATGATGTATGTAGGTTGAATTGATTGGCCCTGGAACTGCATTTGTTAAAACTAAATTACCAACAGTCGGCCAATTTTGATCTGATCTGAAAAAAAAAATGACGTGCATCAAAAATCTATTATATTCAATAGACTTAACAAGTTTAAAGAAATATGTTCATGCATGACTGAAATCTGGTTCCTGAATGTCAGAAATGCTTGATTTTTTATGAAGTTTTAGCACTAAAATGGCTGCCAATCGGCGTTTTTTAGCGTGTGTTGTTATCGTCGATTGGGACTCAATTCCCGTGTGTGCACAGGTGACGACCCTCCCACTTTAAATCAAAACTAACACAATGATGCTTGACTGTAAAGATTTAGGAAAAAATGGCCAAAAATAGTTATTTGGGACACAAATATTTATTGTTAATAACAGCAGCAATGCCAGATGGACAAGATTTTATAATTATATCAATTACACCAGAAACAGATTCTTTTGTTTTTCATGATGTGCATGAAACCTGTCTCATACGGAGTCAAATGAGTATATATGGCATAACAAATAATAGTAGTGGAGTTTGTGGTTTCAAGTGACATATACAGTTCCCATGACAGGAAACAAACATATAACTTACTTTCCCTTTTCATATAATAGCCTGGTTCACACTCTGTAATATCCTGACACATATCACCAAACATTCGTTTTCCAGGCACACACGCACACACCCTTTTTTGTGTGGGACTACATTCCAGTTTCACCTGTATAAACAATAAAAAGAATGCATATAAAAAGGGTCAATTGTACATGATTAAAATATTCTGTTACTTTTAACCTTGTCTCTGTGAAATATTCTAAATCTAATACATTTGTCAAGTCTGTCTAAGCTGACCATCAACTAACCTACAACTAAAGTCTAAACTAGGGCAGTACAATAAAAACTATCTAAAAACACACAGATGAGACGCATTTTTAAGCACTTTTTGATCATCGGTAAATACTGTAAAGAGGTTAATTACTCACTGGCTTTTAATTTAGCTTATTTCGCTGACTGGAAAATGCGCTAAATTAAAACCCAGTGAATATGTAAAATTTAGCATAAAACACATTATCTAAATGATAAAACCGTGAATTTAAAGCCCACTGAATATGCCTGAAATGGTAGATCAGTGAAATTTAAACCCAGTGAAAATTAGTCACTTTACAGTATCATGAAGCACCATCTGAATGTTAATATGCTGTGAGAATTTTAATTCTTGTTGTGTTTCACATTCCAAAACAGGTCAAACATACTTTTAATTTAATTAGTTGAATTTATTTTAAACAATTAATTAAATAATTAATTAATAAAGGCAGCAAAAAAAATCTTTCTACATTTGAATGTCTACATACAGTTTAGTATGCCCAATTTATAACAAAACATTGGGAACAAAATAATTAAATTGATGTTAGGGTAGATATTTGTTGAATTCTAGGCATTAAAAAATCCACTTTGAAATACTGTACATGTATATCTCCTTGTTTCGCTCCTCATATCAAAGTCTGCATATTTAAAGCAGAGCTATATGAATGAAATTAATATAATTAGTGTAATTTATGCAGAACATCAGAATAGTAATAATAATTTGATTGGCTGTTGTTTCAGAATAATGATCAATGACATTCTAGTAAAAAGATATGTTAACTGTCACCATTTTAAAAATGTTTACCGGAAAGCTAATTTACCATTTTCAAGTCATTTCCTCTATCTTCTAAAAAGTGTGGTTAAAAGGTGCATCTCATCTTTTAAGTGTGTAATTAACCCATTGAACACCATATTGTAAATTTTTGGCACTATCTAAAAAATGATTTTCTACAGTTTTCCCAACATTAAATGTTGATATAAATTGACAAATATTTCAATCAAAAACTAAAGGCTATATCAAAAAACTGTCTGCATGGTCCAAAATGAAGATGAAATTTAGTGACAATTTTACCAAATGTAAAAATATTTGCACTGAATTTTGGGGGAAAAAATGTCTGGCGCTCAAAGGGTTAAATATGATAAGATGAGCTTGATAAACTTACACTTACTGCAGCTGATAAAATTCAAAGATAGCTCTTGGTTAGAAAGCATGTGGATTATAAATAAGATAATAAGTTAGCAGAAAAGCACAAGAGTCAACGTTGAGATAGTGTTTATTATGTCAATGTAGGAAACAGTATGGCTTACAAGCAACCCAAGATTCATGATTTTTTCACATACACATTTTGCAGCGCCCAACTATCACATCTTGTCAATCATTTATCATATGCATGTTAAATATTTTATCCCATGTTTCACTGCAACACATGTATACTGCGGACAAAGTCTAGCTCAGCTATGGTAATTTTGAAAATAACTGCATAACATGTTGGTATGTCTGCGGCCCATGAGCAATGTGAAATATGGTACAAATGTGAGTCATGTACATCTCAAATGTGCAGTGAAAATGCAGAAATAATGACAGCTATAACCTGACAGCCTGACTTGTATATTGATTGCAGGATAAGTAAATCAACTCTCATTCAAGAAAACTATAATAGTGCAAGTACAATTGTCATGTACTTTGAGACACTCGTAACAAGTATCTGCAAGATTGAAACAATTTACACCTCAATGAATTGCTGTTGTATACCAGACTGGTCCATAATAAGTAAGACGTTACGGTATTAATAATATAATATAATATACAAGGTTCATTACTTACATACTGGTCTCTATAGTTACATAGCTGAGTACAGCCCCAGCATTGCGTGCAATAGTTAAACCTATCAATGTAGGTGTTGTTTCCACACGTACTACACCTGGAAAAATAAAAAGATATGAAGTTTAATTTGGAAGTGTTACACAAGTGTTTGAAATTACTGCCCGTCCATAAGCCCAGCATGGGTATACTATTCACTTGGGCTGGTGAAAATCTCAAGTTACTAGCCCTATGGTTGGGTAGATTTTTTGAGAAAATAACAAAAAAATATTACTGTTTACGAAAATTACAAAATGTCTATGGATGTATGATTGTTGTCAAAATTATGTACCTAGAGGTCTTATGTGACCGTTTTGACGCATGCAACATGTAAAACAGGAATAAACAACAACAATACAAGATCGATGCGTGATTTAGCGAACTCTCACACTACATGTATGCGTGATTCAAACATTCACAATATGCATGAGTTCCAGTTTTTACACTGTATTTTAAAAATGTTAAGGTAGCGAGACTATTATTTGCATACTTGTTTTCATCTTCTAATTGTGACTAAATGACTACAAATAGACCCGGAAAAGTATATATTTTTAGAATCGCCAGACTTCAAGCTTTTCACAAGTGTATTTTGCATGCCCGTATCTGCATTCTACGACGCGTTACTCAATCAAAGGTGAAAAATTACTTTTTCTGTAAAAAAATTAATTACGCATTTAGGCTGGCGATAAAAAGTATTTTTTTCACTTTTCCTAGTTGTTCAATAGTCTGGTAAATTGAATGTGTCTGGTCAGTTT